CGAACCTGCGTCCAGGAGCATCCCAGACACTGCCTTAATCGACTGAGCTACAACAGGGTAAAAGGGTTGAAACAAGTTCTACTGAACTTACTGGATCCCATTTCATTTGATGCATCACGTTAGTGTGATCTCTGTGTCTACGTAGATATTGTTTATGGATTTTTATCTGATCATCAGGTGTAGTGAGGGTATATAATCCCAAACTAATGTCTATATTCCTTGACGTGTTGAAACACGAAACCGTTCAGAATTTTCGTTTCGTATTCCTAGTGGCACTACACTAGGAATTATGTATCCAGACATCACACTATAGCTTTTATACTCAAATTCCTCTTCAAAGCTGTTCTGTCCCAGCTCCCTCCCTTATCCAGTAGGTAATATTTGATTTAGCTGTGCTGTATTTGTCTATCCCCTTGATTGGTTGGTACGCATGCCTCACGTCGTGCAAGTTTGGTGTTTGATCGCCCAGTGGTTCAAGTGGTCCTTCACTTCATCCTCAAATCCTAGCTTTGTCTGATCTTGATCTTGTATCCCTTTCAAAAATTAGTCATGCTGGTTTACAGCTTTCTCCTAATAACTAATTACAAGACAATTACAGTACTTTATCCACTACCCACTGCATTTTTACGGTCAAGAAAATTATTGGCCATAAAGTTATGTAACTGCTGCTGTCTTTTAATGGTTAGAACAAACATGTACTGTATAGTTTAAAAACACGCCGTGGATTGGTTATTATAGTCTATGGTAAAGTAAATACAGTATATATTGTACACTCAAAATTTAACTTTCGAACCGTCAGTTTGACACAGTCAACCAATTTTCAAGGCTCCAAATTCTTGCTAGGTGAACAGGGTCAAGTCTAGCAAAATAATTACCAGTACACTCAAATTATCCCAACCTGAAAATGTTAGGAGCCTAGAACCTCTTGCTTACAATACCAATTTACCGCATATCGTTTACCTGTGGCCAGTTCTGAGAGTTCTATTCTCCAAATCTGGTAGACAGTGAGGCTTGTCATTGGATAATTGGATCCGTAAAGCTATTGCCTTTAGCAGCCTGTATTATCCATTACAATTCTGCTTATCCAGCAGTCCCTGAAAGAACTTGTCCAATTTCCTCTTGAAAATTTCACTTTTATTCTAGCAATACAGTATTTGCAATACTACTGTGCTTAGTGGACAGTGTTGGAAAAGCTGTGGACCTTTGATGTTTAGTGTTCTCTGATTGTGCTTAAGACACCTATACTTGTTACTTACTGGGGGTCTACATTTCCTACCCAATATTTTGTTACACTACGTAATTTTGCGTATTTGAGACCTGATCTTTGAGTATCTTGTATGTACAGTATATACTACATTAAGTGTGCCTCTCTTCGTCCTTTAGTAATAAGAACATACTAATGTACTTCGTCCTAGAATGTACTAAGAGTACATTCTTACTGCTTTGAGATAAAGTCACAGTAATATAGGTGTTTTATTGGCAATGCATTTTCTCTATATTCCTTCTATTACAGATATATCTACTGCTTTGAATGGGAAGACAAGTACAGAGCAGAATTCAAGGTGTCTTAAGAGCATAAGTGATTTTATAAGTACGAGCATTGTGATGACATTCTGGATTTGAAAATTCTAATAATCCACCTTATAATTTTTCAAACTTGTTACATTTGTTTTATTACCTTCACTAAACATTATAACTTGCAATTTGCATGCAAAAGGATACAGTTACATGTACTGTAAAAGTGCTAGATAAACCTCAGTACTCTGCTGTGTTCATGATTACAATTTGTTTTATGTTCATGATCTAGTTGTACTGTACAGCATTGGTCTGGCAACCACAAAATTTGTTACATTGATAAAAAATGCAAAATTCATCAATTTTAAATTCAAGAGACTTAAAATAAAATTATTGCCCTGGGTGAGTGATTTCTTTCAAGTACAGTACAGTACTCTGAAAGCATTTCAGTATGAAAGCATTTTAAGTTTTATCCTCAAAATGGTCATCAGTTAACCTTAGTGAAAATAAAAAGCAGTCAGGGCTATGATAGTGCTATTAGCCTAATAGTGAATTTAATCATATGGACATCTGCTATAAAGTTAATTTAATTAACATTCAGAACAATTTTGAATAACAAAACTATTCATGTCCAAAGGGATGACATATTTAGATCAAAACCTTTACAGTTTCAACATCATTCTGCAAGATTCATCAAGTTATCTTCAGAAACACGCACGTTGTGAAACATAACGAAACAGGCTTGCTCCATTTTGTTTATCTTAAAGTACAGTATCAACACCCATATTCTAATGATCAATGTGTGTCTCAGATTTCATTGAAATACAACATGTGACAATTCGAGTACTGTACTTTTTTGCTCCAATGTAATATGGCCAAGAATATACTGTATTGTACTACCCATTTGTATTTTGTGATAAAGGTAATTATCAGGGAAAAGCACTAAACCACCATGACCATATACTGTAGCAATATCTATGTACAGTACATCTATATATAATATAGTGCAATACATATACAGTACATGTGGTACCAGGTATAGAGTATCTATATACTGTACTGTATGCATATCTATAATTTTTATGAAACAAAATCTATAGTAGGTAAATCAATTTAAAATTTCAACAATGCAAGTGCTTTAGAAATAAGTAAATTGGTAATCAGTGGCTTTTTTATTAGTGCCAGCCAGCAGTGTTACAGTGGGACAGAAGCGATTGTCAAACATTAATCGTTGTTAAACAGGCTTTGCCAACCTGTCATTTTTCCATTCAATGGCTGTCTTGTGGAATGCGGGTAGCTTATCAACCTATGGTTTCCCTTGATACCTCAGTTCTCGAGTTATTCAAAGAGCTGACAGCTTTACTTTTACCTTTTTTCCCATTATAATACTGTAATTTAATTGAGCAGCTTTGCCTCTGCAATGTCCAGTTCTAAAAACGTTGGAAGTGATTTTGGGTTAATACTGTATAAAGAAACCTTAGGATCCAATTCCGAGTACAGTATTTTTTATTTATAAATGACAATGAAAGATTCGATATACTGTACCTGTATTTTACTTTCATATTTAAGTCATTTATCTTCCTTAAAGCAGATGTGATGATCAGTATCACACACACGCACACACTTGACAAGTACACCCATCATATTAAAAGCTCTGAAATCATAGTACACGTACAGGTACTGTTCAAAGACTATTAACAACTAAGAAATTTCCTCCAACTATATGTACATTGGAAAAAATCCTTAGTAACAATGAGGTATATAGATATTGACAAGATGTCTACTTTCTGTCTCTACTGAGGCCACTAGAGAGATGGTGGCCCTCTGGTAAATTCAGGTAAAATGTCACTACACTATACAAGAAATGACATTAAATGAATATGTATGTACCTCATGCTTCAACTCTCTACCTATTCTGTATCAGGTTACTGGGAGCCTGTACATACTATACTTCACATAACTAAACCACATTTCATACACTGCTGTATTCATTCATTTTTAGTTTTAATTTCAGTCCTTGTTCTTGTAATTTGTTTAAATACAGGCCTACTTGTAAGAATAATCACGGGTATGTAAATATTAAATTCAGTTGAGCTACAGATAAAAATGTACTGTATTCCTAGAGCTCAAACTATATAGCTGCCCAGAGGCTATACATCATTATAAAATACATTATCACCTGTATATACCCATCTTCAGATATATGTCATAATGAAGCTCAGGGTTTCTTGCCTAACAAGTTTCCTCTCTGGACAGGCAGGTATGGCAGCAGCAGCTTGAAAGTCATACACCCAGAAAATTACTTTCTTTGGCACCTTTCTTCCCAGAGTTCTAAGCACGTTGGTTCCATCATGTTGATCATTTGGTGGCCCTAACTAAATTTCTGGCTTTTTAATTAAAGATATTTTAATATGTGGTTTAAAAGGATTAATTTTACTCGTACCAAGCTTGATGAATGCAAGAGCCGAAAACTTAAGAATTGCCACTGGGTTTGAAATCACCACGAATTAATGTAGGTTCAAAAATGACTGTTTAGATATATTTAGACAGAAAATATAAGCAGCTCCAGGAAGTCTAGAACAAGCTATTTGCTAGACAGTGCACAGTCTCGACGAACACAACCAGATGTATTAAATTTATCCTTCTGTCACATTATTTTTCATATTCTTACATCGTTTGGAAATTATTAAAAGGCTAACTTGAACTCGTTTCATTTTGTTAAGGAAGAGCTAAGATGTCAACTACCCAAAACAGTAGCCAATAGGAGACTATATATAGTATTGTTTTGATAGTAGATAGTAGTTCTTGTACAATGCACTATTTTTAATAAATGCTGTATTTCGGATAACTCCCATTGTAATTCTTGTTGTCAGGGACTGGACTCCTGTACATACGGTAAGCATATATTAAAAGACCCCCCTCCCAAAAAAAAAAAACTAGACTGAACTACTGACCCTCCCCCCCAGGATGCAACCCACAACAGCTGCCTGACTCCCAGGTATCTATTTACTGTGCTGGGTGAACAGAGGCATCAAGCAAAACGATACTTGTCCAAAAATTTGTCCCGTATGGAGACTGAACCCGGGATATCCGATTACGAGTCCAGAACGTAGACCACTCTATACTACACATTATGGTACTAGGCGAGTACTATTATTGGCAAGGACAACTTACTGCGTAAATCTACGGAACAATTTTATTCGCACAACATACAACATCTGTAATTACCACGCTGAATGCCAGACAACAGACCGATGGGAAGCCTGAGAGCGGGTGTGCGAGGGGCAGTTGATTCACCTGCTGCTGCAACAAACGTTGACGCGTCAGCATTGCATTTGCATCACCTGCGAGTCAAACAGCTGATCACCCCAAACAACGGCCTCATGCATACACAGCTTCGTGTAACATTTGTCATATTTCCTCTTCCCAACCTTCCATTTTGGATGGTACTGGATAAACAGCGTTTATTATAACGGAGTACTCACCACTTGCTTCGGCGTTGCCATCTTGCAGACCGTCGATCACTTAAATCTACTGGAGGAAGAAGGTGTAGCTCTCACCCTCACACCTGCTCGTGGGGTAACTGTTTACATCGCGTCGATTCGCGGTTAGTAGAGGCGGGTCTGTGACGCCACCATACGTCATAGAGTCCCCGAGCGCCCATTGGCCAACTTGACTGTCAAATCAAAGGACGCGTGTCGACGGCCCATGTTACGTCACAGAGTCATGGGGTCCAACATCGGTGATTGGTCAACTGGTGGCGACCCAAAGGACGCTTATAAATAGGTTCAGTTTGGCATAGTATTAATTTAAGATTAAGTAAGCTTATTCTCCTCCTTACTGATATGCTAACAGCAAAACGTGGTGTAGCAGCAAATTTTGATGACAGACTTGTGCAATGGCAGGCTCATATACCCGGACCCAGGCACTGAGGAGACATGATATCTGATTTTCAGGAAGTGCAGGTCTCCGGCAACTAATCTATCCTTGGCCACCAGCCTCCAGGCCTACCATATATCCTTATTACGGGTATTTAATTATATATGGTAGGTCCAAAGGCTGGTGGTAGCCAGGGATATCCTGAAGATCTCCCTAAAATATACTAATGATTATATAATAATTCCCGTGGTTGGGGAACACCAAGCCTTTTTGTATTTATATCTTATTACAAATATATATATATATATATATATATATATATATATATATATATATATATATATATATATATATATATATATATATATATATATATATATATATATATATATATATATATATATATATATATATATATTGCTTGCATGCATTGAAACACATCTAAACTGCTCTGTCTAACACTACAATCTACAGTAGTGGTTTAAAGATCTATATAAAGTTTTTTTATATAAGTAATATAAATTGAATCATTTGAGATTAGAGATAGAGTTAACTAACACAGCTGTATTGGAAGTTGAAAAACACTGCACCTTTAGCCTACAATGCATCATAATCTCTTCATTTTGCACCTGAACACAAATCACTGGATATTAAACATGAGATAAGGGAAACAACAAACATTGGCCAAGAGCTGAGAGAGTGCATTACTCCAAGATGATTAGGGGCTTCTTCAGAAACCGGCTCTTCTGTTGTTCTTCAGATGGAACAACCACTGACATATGGAGGGGAAAGACGACTTGACATCCCGATAGAAAGTAGTCACCAGATTACCAGTACTATTCTATTAGGGAACTTGAGTCAACAATGGTGCAAGTCTCGGTGTCTGAGACTGAGAATCCTGCCTCTTTTCCCGCGAGACAAATGCATAAAATGTTGCTTGTCTCCCGGTGAAATAGTCTGGACGATTTCTTAGGCCACATCCAAGTGACAAGCTAAAGTGCACAGAGAATATAACCTGGTCAATCAGCACACACACCACAACTTGAGAACATATGGAGTGTAATTTATACTTCAGTATATCCAGGCAAATTATCTGAAGGTTTCAATTCCCCAAACTTAATGACATGTCACATGGATATAACCAGTGGTGCCTGGTTGTCCTCCAGACATTACTAGCAGGATGAGGGTTGATGAGGAGTGACGATACTAGAAGGAATGGTGCCGACACCTGTGGTGGTAGTGGGGTGAAGCAGTTTTAATTTGAATGACTGTAAGGACAGTAAAATCTCCCTAATTGGTGGATATGTACATAATGCTACTGGGACTGTTAGCTTGGGATTAAGAACAGGCTCTGATTGGCTGGATCAATCTTTGCCCATTGACTCCCAAGAATCTGTTAGGGTCCTTCAGGGGGACTCAAGGATCCTCGGTATTGCTTCTGTATATTTGGTTGCATTTCTGTCAATTAATGGATTAATGCACAGTGAATTAAAACACTAAACAGTGGATAATGCACTCAGAAAGAATTGTATCAAGATAATAAATAGGATGAATTCTTAGCCTAGTGCCACCTGTAGTTCACTGTTCAAAGCCTCCAGCATAAGCAGAGACATGTCCCTCAAGATGTTCAATTTTGAACTGTAGCACTTTTTGAGACATTGAACTGCTCGATTCTCTAATGCTGCATTTACGATACATCCCAAATATTGTATATGAGAAAGCAACTGAACATTAATAAACAGCAGTTTATTCATGAGGAATTATTTTATTTGTGGCAAATCTTGTGAGTAATATATGTCAAAATGTAAATGAATGAGGTACAACTGCAGATATTTTGGCTAGAGGTATGATTAAATTTTCCAAGATGCTAGTAAGTGTGGAAAATATTATGAAATTATATACCTTCTTCATTTAAATAAATATGTATTATATTTCTCACAGCCTAATTATGTATTGTAATGCTTCAGTTGATCTTAGCTCTCTCTCTTTTTTTTTAATAAATAACTTTCATCCATTTCTTGGGCAAGTGACTTCCAACCTCATTTAAGTGGGATACAGGACATGGATGATAAGTGTTTTGCACACAAAATGAGCATTTATTTGAGATATCAAGTTCACTGAGGGGGCGAGGGCAGCAAATGGGTACATTTGAATTAGTTAAATGTGCGATGCTTTCTAAGAAATGGTCAATCTAACAGGCTTCCTATCCCCCAGTAATGACAAACTATAACCTCAGACTATAATAAAACAGCCACATGAATTTAATTATGTGCAAGAATTCATACCTCTAGCAAAATAATTTTACACTGTATCTACATCATTTTAGGCAAGAAAATTTTTATTTAAAGAAATAAATATGTTACATCAACTGAATGATTGCACGGAGGCTGATATGTGTGTGCTGGTGCCATTAAACTCATCAACATGTTGAACAAAGAGCTGAAATGTTAACAATTAACAAATGTATCTCCTTATATTATTCAATAAAAACCAATCAACAAGTCAGAGTAGTAAATAACTGTTAATGTATTAGGAACAACATTAAATCTAGCTTAGAAACAAGCCTGTACAATATGTAAATTACATGGGCGCTTAAATTATGTTGCTGCAATTATCCAACTCATTAAAGAAGGGTAGAAATTGATTTATGTATTACATCTTTATTCTTGATATAGTTAATGCAATATGTATAAGCATACAGGATCACATTATACCCCATGATACCATTATTAGATAACAATTATCACACTTCTTTATGCAGTACTGCAAATACAGGTCAGTGTAGCCAACAGGTGATTGTGCCATGTTGCACAGTAACTCATAAATAATAAATAATTACAATAAGTCATAAAAGCCCAATGTTTGACTAACACTATTACCTGTATTGCTGCAAAAATATCACAAATGTACTAATTTTTCAGTTTATTCACATCACAGTTTACCGGTGGAGACATCCAGACATAAATAAGGTAGAGGATGAACAGCAATTATGAATATCAGTATTTTAAAGAACCTTCAAAAACTGTGAAAACTAAATTAGCACAAACCCAAAAGTTTTAAAGCTTGAAATTTTCTGGCCGAGCCCCAGAGGCTCCCTGACGCTATTCAGACTAATATAGCACATATCAGTCCTGATAGCTTCAGGGAGCTGATGGGGCTCCGCACAGAAAACTGAAACTGTCTAGAGTGAATAACTATACTCTATTTCATAAAAACAGGAAGCTAAAAGTTGGTCTTTTATTTTACACAATTACTGTACAGTATTTATAAATGATGCACAGCACTACTGGCTGCTGGGAATAATTGCTGGAGTACAGTAGTACTTGTTTATCCAAGATTCGATATACAGTGGTGTGACTGATATATATTAAATATGCAAATTACTTTTTTTTTTAATATCTACAACCTTCTTTCACTTCATACCTGTAATTCCTCCTTTTCCCCACAATAGATGCCACCCAACCCTGTGAGTGGGAAAAGGGATTCTGGAGGCACACACTTATACAAAATTATAAATAAATGTACACTATGTGCTCATAATAAAAGTACAGCAAACTGGGGTTATTTGATGTACAATACATGAATTATTCAAAACCAACAAATTTAGTACACAGCACCAAAAACAACACAATTATAAATAACCTTCTAAACTTGAAAAATTTCATTTAAAAGAGCATTTGTCAGCATGTCAGAGGTCACAGCCATGAAGAGCACTGGTGAACAACATGTCACAGGATAGTTTGTGGCAGGAATATAACAATTTGGAAAAATTTGAAATAACACTAAAATAAAATCTAAAATTCAAGAAAACTGAAGAAATCAACATTTAGCATGAAATGTGGATGACAATTATGCAAAAACTGGAAAGATGAAATCAAATACAGTACAGAGAAACTTGAGCTTCAATGAGGTATAGAACACAGTAACAGATTAAAACTGGCAGTGAGAAATCAAGATTGCCATATATTCCTGTCTGAATAGGAAATGTAGATGTTTATCTCTCAGAATGTTTGGTAATATGTTTATTGTTTGTGATGTGTGTATATGTATGTATTAACACGATGTACTGAATAGGGTGAGAATAGCTTGAGCTACCTCATCCCTTTGTGTGTATTTTACCTCAATAAACTTATTTCAATTTAAATTTTCAACTTCCTGACTGGATAAGACAAAGGTGAGAAAGCAAACCCACAAACACATTCCTGACCCCTAAATGTGGACCAACAAAAGGACCAAGGCCCAAGAAGTATTGAAGCCCAAGCTCTTCTGTGGTGTTGGATGCTGTCCACATCCCAGAAGAGAGGTTATGGACAGCATCCAACATCACAGAGGTAAGAGATTGGATGATTGTTGACCAGACCACACACTAGAAGGTGAAGGGATGACGACGTTTCGGTTCGTCCTGGACCATTCTCAAGTCGAATGGTCAAGATCGACTTGAGAATGGTCCAGGGCGGACCGAAACGTCGTCGTCCCTTCACCTTCTAGTGTGTGGTCTGGTCAACATACTTCAGCCACGTTATTGTGACTCATCGCCTGCAGCTTGGATGATTCCTCCTGGTTGAGATAACTGGCAACCAAGAATTTAGATCCTTGCCCTTGCTTGCTGGAGACTTATATGTGTATGACCATGCACTGTTTTCATACACACTTTGTAGTCCAGCAGACTGGGTGCCTCTGTCATTGGCATTCTTTTCATGTCACACTCTCTGCTCCCAATTTCTTTCCCAATGTCACACACACACACACACACAATGA